CACCCAAGCAGGCTCAGTCCAGAGCCTCTGCTCTGCATGTAAGTTCAAACGCATCTTGGCCCCTCCCCTGCTTTCTCCTCATTGGCTTACTGTCTTTGATTGACAGTAGTCATTGATTGACAACAGCTCCCACTGCTGTCTCAGCCAATGAGGAAGAAGAGACACGAGACAGCCGAGGCTCTCGTGCATATCACTGTATTGGTAAGTATTGGGGGGGGGCTGCTGCACAATGATGCATAGAATGCATGAAGGTAAAAAAAAAAAAAACCTTCAGCCTTTAAACCACTTTAAGTATAAAAAAAAAAATTGTCATGAGGAGATGATCATTGCTGGCAGGCAGCAGCATTCTTTATCACCACCTAAGGCAGTTATTGTTTCCTGTAACCTAAAGTGGGTCAGGACACTTTAAATTTCTTCAAAGCAGAAAAAAAATCTACAATATTATTTCATGCTTTTACCAGTGGTTTGCAAGCTTTTTGAGATTGGGGCCAGGTAAATCCTTCTAAATCCATCCCTACAGTAAAGGTTTTCTACACACACAATAAAAGTAATAGGAATGCAAACATCTATTGAAATGCTGGAAGGTTCTGGATGGAACTGGGTGTCACTGCCGTGCTGGAAGGGGGATGGGTGTTGTGCAGTGGGTTAGAGGACTCTGCAGAGGACTTGGTGGTCCTGTTAGAGATGAGCTTTCCTGGGGGGGCACTGTGAGAGGTTGGGGGGACTGTGGGATGCTGTTGGAGGTGGGGCCCTATAGAGCAGGGTTTCTCAACTAGGGTTCCTCCAAAGGTTGCTAGGGGTTCCTTGAGCAATGAACAATTTCTGCCTCTCAGATAAGTTCCAACTGACACCATTGATCTTTTAGCTACCTGTAAGGAGATAATTCTTCACAGTAACCACAAGTATAAGGAGCATTCTTCCCACTGATCATCACATTGATGTATCATTAGTTGTAGATATAGTAATTTTTAGTAGGCACTCCTCGAGACTTGAAAGTTATCTCAGGGATTCCTCTGTCTTGAAAGCTCTTTACTGTTGCCTGACTCCCTACCTCTGCTGAAAGTCTTCTTCAAGCATCAACTACCTTCAGCAAGTGACAGATCCATTAACCTCCATCCGTTGAGAAAGACTGCTATAGAGAGATGGAGGCTCTGCAGCAGGGTGGGGGCCCTCTGGAGGTTGAGAGCTCTCAGGGGGCCTATGGGCCACTATTGAATGTTGGGAGGCACTAAAGAAATTGGGAGGCACGGATGGAGGTTAATGGATCTGTCACTTGCTGAAGGTAGTTGATACTTGGAGAAGACTTTCAGCAGAGGTAGGGAGTCAGGCAACAGTAAAGAGCTTCAAAACATGCTTGGGACAAACATAGATCTATACTAAAAACGATAAAAATATACAATTAGGTCCATAAATATTTGGACACATGCACAATTTTAGATTTTTTCAGGTATTTACCAAAACATATCTAAGCTATAGTTTATAAAATGGATATGGGCTGAAAGTGCACACGCTCAGGTTTAATGTGAGGGTATGTACATCCAAATTGGAGGAAGGGCTTATAAATTACATATATAAATGTACATACTCAATAGAGCACTTGGTCTTTTTTCTGTTGTCACTTTTTTATGCTTCCATGTTTCTATGTCTGGGAGAAGGGTGTCCATGGCCCAGTGGTTGAGAACAATAATACAATATGGGAACCTTTATATATAGTGATCCACCAGTAGTTTCTTGGATTGGGTTTTATATAACGTCCAGGCTGTGGTTCCTCCTAAACTGAGCTTTTGGCAGGTGACTAGCTCCCCACATATGTTTGACTGGAGGCGAGATCTTAGCAAGGGGAATGTATGCAAATCTGTCTGTGCTGTTGGAGGCAAAACACACCTTTGGGACACTTGTATCTTGGAACTTTCATATATGCCTCGTGATGTGTTCCATAAAGGAATACTGTCTAAAGCGGGGCAGGAAATTCATGAACTGGCATACTGTAGAATATAGACTTGTATGTCTGGTCTTGTCTTCAAATGTGCTTGGACTGTTATTCTCAGATCCCTGCCAATGGATGTTAATCCCAAATTATATATTTGTTAATGGATTATATATTTGTTAATGGTATTAGGATCTAATTTACATAACATACTTTAGGTTTACTTTACGCGAAAATATAGGCTCTTTGCACACTAACTGTGTTATCTGTCGACATTTGCAAAAAAAAATAAAAAAATCTAACCTTTAAAAATAACCTATTCTATATTTAATTTGTATATATAAAATATCCTGAAAATAGGTAAACAGAAATCTTTAACTGGCACTTAATGGCTTTTAAGCGAAAGCACAGGATTTTCTGAGGGAATACTGTCAATATCTCTACTCTAGCAGAATTAATGGCCCACTCAGGATTCAAATGTTTCATAGAATCAATTTACTAGAAATGCATTAAACAACTAGAGAGCATTCCACATGCAATATGACTAGCAGATTTTCTGCCACCTTATGTGCAAAAATGTAGACATACAATCTTCGATGTACCAATGTCACAAGAAATATCTTCCATACGTAATAATTTTGACTCTTTAGTATTCAAGTTAAGTCTAGGATGTGCAAATAAAACCCTCATGTCTACTGAAAAAAAAAAACCCATTTATAGAGTGCTGCCTCTCATCAAATAAAGTGCAAAAAGTGCTTCGATCTCGTAAAAGCGCAAAAAGTGCCTAAATCTTGTAAAATAACTGCTAGTTCATAAATTCAATCCATAAAAACCATAAAGTGCTTATTGTACAATAATCCATTCAACAATAAAGTGCTATCATGCAACAAATCATGTGTATCAATTCATAATCAAGAAAGTGCTCTTATGCATGTCACTTCAAATAACAATAATTATTGCAATATACAAAAAAAGTGCAAAAAAAAAAAAAACCCCATCATAAATATCCATAAATAAACACATAAATGTGAAAAACAATATATGAAAGAAAGTCGAACCACTGCCGCCAAACTGCTGCTGTGATCTCATTAAAAAACTGCACCTCTGAGTAAAAGGTTATCAGAGGTTTAACATCCACATAATAAGATGTTAACACAGCATGGTTCTGCACAAATCCCCTGGAACAGCGATCAACAGCTTGCATGGATGGCCTTTAATACCTCAAATCCCCACTGATTTTCACCTTAAGAGGAGTGCCGACATCACTCAAAAATAAAAAACACCATATACCATGGCCCAATATCTTCCACAAAGCTGGTTTATTCAACAATATGGCACTCACAAACAAAGTAGTATCAGAGCATATAATACAGCATCTGTGCTCGATGACGTCATGAAATAGGCTCCACCCTACAAGTTTCAAGGCTAACCACTTCATCAGGGAACAAGTCCCAATGTCTAAGCAATTAACTGTGTTCATGCTGTGTTTCTAGAATATTACTGCTGGTGTGTTCCTCACTCTCAAGATATATGGCATTTGAATTCCTCCATCTAAGCATCCATTATGCATTGACATACAGGTCTGGAAATGGGTTGAAATTTCAACAAAGATTCCGTAACCCCGCAGCAATTAACTGACTATGATTTGTGAATCAGATATCAGGATCTTAACTGGATGCCAACAAACCCATTCTCCTCCAGTTTCCACTGCCTGCACCTTGGAAGGTCAATGGTTCTAAGGCAACCCAGGAGCAACTAAGAAACAACTTTCACACATGACATTCAACAGGTCAGTGAACCCCCAGAAAGAAAGAAGGAATCTTTACTGGTTGATGGTAGACCAACCCAAAAAGAACTTGTCACAACCAGAATGTCTTGTGCAAAGTCCTTTTAAGGGTTCAAGGGTGCGATTGTGGACTAATAGGGTAATTTTAGTTCTGGATGCACAGAGAGTGTTGGGCCATTTGTTGCCTTCTTATACCTTACAAGGATCCCAAAAGTAAGATCGTTCTGCCTGTAAAAGGAACTGTTCATGCGATATCCAGATACTCCAGGGAAGTTCAATGCCAAAGACACCATAAAATATAAAAAAATTGTAAGGAGTAACCAATTCATCAGCAGTCTGGAACACTTTTTATTATATTAGATATCAAACACATTTCAGTCCAAAGCCTTGACATTTTGGGGTTGATTTACTGAAGAGTGCAAAATCTGGTGCAGCTGTGCATGGTAGCCAATCAGCTTTTAACTTCAGTTTGTTCAATTAAAGTGATATTAACCGCTTCCCGACTGTCCTATAGCAGAAATACTGCTACAGGGCAGCACGGGTGCGCAAAATCACATACAGTTGTGCTCAAAAGTTTGCATACCCTGGCAGGAATTGTGAAATTTTGGCATTGATATTGAAAATATGACTGATCATGCCAAAAAATGTTCTTTTATTGAAGGATGATGATCATATGAAGCCATTTATTATCAAATAGTTGTTTGGCTCCTTTTTAAATCATAATGATAACATAAATCACCCAAAAGGCCGTGATCAAAAGTTTACATACCCTGGAATGTTTGGCCTTTGTACAGACATAGAAGGTGACACACACGGGTTAAATGCCAATTAGAGGTTAATGTCCTACATCTGTGGCTTTTTAAATTGCAATTAGTGTCAGTGTATAAATAGTCAATGAGTTTGTTAGCTCTTACGTGGAAGCACTGATGACTAGGCTAGATACTGAGCCATGGGGATCAGAAAAGAATTGTCAAAAGTCCTGCGTAACAAGGTAATGGAACTTTATAAAGATGGAAAATAAGATAAAAAGATGTCCAAAGCCTTGAATATGCCAATCAGTACTGTTAAATCACCTATTAAGAAGTGGAAAGTTCGGTGATCTCTTTATACCAAGCCAAGGTCAGGAAGACCAAGAAAGATTGCAGCCATAACTGACAGAAAAATTGTCTGGGATTCAAAGAAAAACCCACTGGCAACCTCAAAAGAAATACAGGCTGCTCTGGAAAAAGACACCACTGCATCCTACGCTTTGCATTGCACTTGCTGATATAAGGCTTGGATGCAGCTACCCATTCCATGAAGCTCTCTACGCACTGTTGTTGTTCTAATCTGAAGGCCACACGAAGTTTGGAGGTCTTTAGCTATTGACTCTGCAGACAGTTTGTGACTTCTGCGCACTGTTCGCAACAGCAAGCGCTGACCTCGCTCTGTCATTTTACGTGGCCTACCATTTTGTGGTTGAGTTGCAATTGTTCCCAGTTGCAACCACTTTGTTATAATACCACTAACAGTTGAGCGTGGAATATTTAGTAACAAGGAAATTTCATGGATGGACTTATTGCACAGGTGGCAACCTATCACAGTACCACGGTTGAATTCACTGAGCTCCTGAGAGCGACCCATTCTTTCACAAATGTTTATAGAAGCAGTCTACATGCCTAGGTACTTGATTTTATACACCTGTGGCCATGGAGGTGATTGGAACACCTGAATCCAATGATTTGGAGGGATGTCCCAATACTTGGCAATATACAGTGGACATAAAGTATACACACCCCTGTTAAAATGTCAGCTTTCTGTGATGTAAAAAAAATTAGACAAAAGATTAATCATTTCAGAACTTTTTCCGCCTTTAATGTGACCTATAAACTGTACCAATTGAAAAAATAAACGCAATTGAAAAAACAAACTGAAATCTTTTAGGGGGGGGGGGTAAGCATAAAAAACTAAAATAATGTGGTTGCATAAGTGTGCACACCCTCTTATAACTGGGGATGTAGTTGTGTTCAGAATTAAGCAATCACATTCAAAACCATGTTAGATAGGAGTCAGTACACACCTGCCATCATTTAAAGTGCCTCTGATTAACCCCAAATAAAGTTCAGCTGTTCTAGTAGGTCTTTCCTGACATTTTCTAAGTCGCATCTCACAGCAAAATCCATAGTCCGCAGGTAGCTTCCAAAGAATCAGAAGGATCTCATTGTTAAAGGTATCAGTCAGGAGAAGGGTACAAAAGAATTTCCAAGGCATTAGATATACTATGGAACACAGTCATCCTCAAGTGGAGAAAATAGGACGCAACAGTGACATTACCAAGAAATGGACGTCCCTCCAAAATTGATGAAAAGACGAGAAGAAAACTGGTCTGGGAGGCTGCCAAGAGGCCTACAGCAACATTAAAGAAGCTGCAGGATAATCTGGCAAGTACTGGCTGTGTGGTACATGTGACAATCTCCTGTATTCTTCATATGTCTGGGCTATGGGGTAGAGTGGCAAGACGGAAGTCTTTTCTTGCGAATAAAAACATCCAAGTCTGGATAAATTTTACAAAACCACATCTGAAGTCTCCCAAAAGCATGTGGGAAAATGTGTTATGGTCTGATGAAACCAAGGTTGAACTTTTTGGCCATAATTCCGAAAGATATGTTTGGCACAAAAACAACACTGCACATCACCAAAAGAACACCATACCCACAGTGAAGCATGGTGGTGGCAGCATCATGTTTTGGGGCTGTTTTTCTTCAGCTGGAACTGGGGCCTTAGTCAAGGTAGAGGGAATTATGAACAGTTCCAAATACCAGTCAATATTGGCACAAAACCTTCAGGCTTCTGCTAGAAAGCTGAACATGAAGAGGAACTTCATCTTTCAGCAGGACAACGACCGAAAGCATACATCCAAATCAACAAAGGAATGGCTTCACCAGAAGATTAAAGTTTTGGAATGGCCCAGCCAGAGTCCAGACTTGAATCCGATCGAAAATCTGTGGGGTGATCTGAAGAGCACTGTGCACAGGAGATGCCGTCACAATCTGACAGATTTGGAGTGACCTGACATTTTAACAGGGGTGTGTAGACTTTTCATATCCACTGTAGTGTATCACAAATCCAAAAAGTAAGGGATTACATTTTAATTTTGATATTGGGTGGAGTTATGTAAATCATTTCTTTCTGCAAGTGAAAAGTAGCAGAAATTGCATACAAAGTCAGGGACCCCTCACCCACTGGCAGATTTCAGTAAGGTCAGAACAGACGGCTGCCCAGAGCCTCCGACTGCTGGGGGCCTCGGTGTTCTTCATACTAAATTGAACCCTCACCTTGTAAAACAACCAATTCAGCTTAAAAGAGAAATGAAAGGTAAAACATTTGTGTCCAAAAAATATTTTAAATACCCCTTCTTTTAACCACTTGCCTACCAGGCACTTCTACCCCCTTCCTGCCCAGGCCAATTTTCACCTTTCAGAGCTGTTGCATTTTGAATGACAATTGTGCGGTCATGCAACACTGTACCCATATGAAAGTTTTATGATTTTTTTTGTACAAATAGAGCTTTCTTTTGGTGGTATATAATCACCTCTGGGTGTTTTATTTTTTGCGCTATAAACAAAAATAGTTTCATTGTTTCAATTATAACATTTTGCAAAACAGGTAATTTTTCTCCTTCACTGATTTGCATTGATGAGGCAGCACTGATGGGCACTGATATGCAGCACTGATAAGGTGGCACAAATAGGCAGCACTGATAGGCGGCATTGATGAGCAGGCACTGATGATGCTGCACTGATGGACAGCACTGATTAGCACAGATGGGTGGCACTACTGGGCACAGATGGGTGGCACTGATGGGCAGTACTGCTGGGAACTGATCATCAGGGCACTGATCACAGCGTTCCCCTTTCTGTGACAGTGAATAGCGGATCTTCTCCCGCTGTCACTTTTTGAAAACAAAGGGGCTGTCATTCGTCATGTCATTTGTTCTCAAAGTTCTGTGAATGAAAATAATTAAACTACCATCTGCCACCTTGGCAGATGTACTTGCAGTCTGAATGAGTGCGAGCGTACCCTGAAAAATGTATTGTCTGGAATTGTCTGGAATTCTCCTGTATAATAGTACTAAACTTCCAGTTTTGTGAGTGTGCCTAGGCACTTCTGGGTCTACAGCCTCATAGTTGCGTCATCAAACCTCGACGCGTTTCGATCAATGGACCGTCATCAGGAAGTTTGTATTTCCTGATAACAGTCCATTGATCAAAACACGTCGAGGTTTGATGACGCAACTTCCGCAATGTCTTTTCCGCCCTTTGGAATGCACTCTGGAAAGCGGCGGCCATTTTACTTCCATTCACAAACAACAAGGCTGAATACACCTAGTGCCAGGCTATGGGCACTTTTTTGTGAGTTGCCTTTTTATAGCCTGTCCAAACCATTAAAGCTTTTACGGTTTTACACTATGGGATGTCCGTTTTTGTTTTAATTTTTATGCTGATTACTTGAATTACTACCTGTGGAGGAGAGGCAGATTTTTGGTATTGATACAGCCCCTGTGAAGGAACACCGGTTACCATTAGCAACGCTGCTTAACGCTTGTGAAGGAACATCGGTTACCATTACCCCGTTGCACAATGAGATAGTCCCAAAAGCGCATAGGACCATCCTAGAGATAGGTGGTCATGGGATGGCGGTGAGTGCACAAGTCTGAGCACAGTGGAGCACCTGTCACTTTATTATGGAGTTCACAATCAAGGATTTAGCACCCTGGCACTTTATTTCACATACAGGGACTAAGTACTATTACCAGTATAACATATGTTTATTGTTTATCACAAATCATTTACTTATTGTCACTAAGTTTATTGTTTGCATGGCCCAAGCGGTCTATATGGCATTTATTTAACATTTTGTGTGTATGAGCTCTCAATTAGGACTGCTGCTTAATACGGGTATTTGACATTTTATTCATAAGCGCAGCAGCATTCTCTCTTTCATTTAACTGAAACTGGCCTGGTCCTGGACAAAGCTTTAAAAAAAAACTAGTAATTAGCGCCTCCTGGGATAACCTCCTCTCCAGGAAGGCAGATAAAGCTGCTACTTGAGATGTAAGGGTGCTTGCAGCTAGACCCATCTCCATTCCTTCATGGAGAAATTCCAGGACTGACACGACTCTGTTCACCTGGAAACGCTTCTCTGAACACCAGGAATTATACCCTCTCCATACTTTCAGATAAATTGCTCTAGTCACTTCTCTCCTGCTTGAGAGCAAGGTGGCAATAAGCTTCTCCGATAGCCCCTCTCTTCTTAGGAGTTCTTCTTCAAGAACTACGCAGTTAGGTTGAATTGCTCCACTTCTGGATGCAGCCCTGGTCCCTGGACTAGCAAATCCTTTCTGACTGGCAGTTTCCAGGGGGGTTTGGAGGATAGGTTCCGTAGCATCGTGAACCAAGGTCTTTTTGGCCAGTAGGGTGCTATCAAGATTAAGCTTGTCGTTTCCTGCTTGAACTTTCAAAGTACTAGAGGTATGAGCTGAAAGGGGGGTGGGAACGCATTGGATAGAGGGTAATTCCAGGGATGAGCCCAGAGCCTGGTCTTCCCTGTGAAGGGAGAAAAACACTGATGCCTCTGTGTTTAGGTGGCTTGCAAATAGGTAGATTTGAGGAACACCCCAAGCTTCCGTGATCAGCTGGAACACTCCCTGATTCAATCCCCACTTGGACTCTACTACTTTTCTTCTGCTCAGGCAACCCGGGGATAGCAGCTTCCTTACTGGAAAAACTGTATCCATGCAGAAGTGCTAGCACCGAATGGACCTGTTCAGTAGCTTTAGATTCAAGATTAGACAGAACTTCCCTAAAGGCTTTTGAACCAAGAAGATGTGCGAGTAGAACCCCCGGCCTTCTTGTTCCCTTGGCACCCTGAATGGAGACCTCCTGCTGCATCAGTTCCTTCAAAAGGGATGTCATTGCTGAGGCCATCTGCTGACACCTTGGGACAGCCTTTCTTACCCCCCTCCCGTAAACCAGGTTCCCTGCAGCACTTCCACCATGGCAAAGGAAGCACCATAACTGAGGGCATGATAGAAGAGGCAGTCTTTTAAGCTGCAGTGTTTCCTGTGTTATGGGTGGAGCTACGCTCTCTCCAGGTGCTGTCCTGAAGAGCGAGGAGCGAAAATGAAAGCTAGAAGCAGAATGGTTGTCATATACAGCTTCTCCAAATTCTGGCTGCGCATAACCTCCAATGTGTTGTGCCATCCATCTTTATATTGGTAGTAAACTGCGTTAAAAAAAAAAAAAAAAAAAATCCCCTGCAATGTAAAGGCATAACGTGCTAGTATAAATCACATACAAAACTTACATTAAAACAAAGCCCGCCAGCGGCACGCTGTCACTGCTGAACAGGCTTCCATCTCCACCCATCTCCTTCCGGGTTCGTGAGCTCTGACCATCTGGCAGGCTGATCCGTGATGACGTCACTCCCGTGCAGGGGCAGACTGACCATTTGGAAACTTGGGCACTGCCCGAGGGCCCGTGATCAGTAGGGTGCCCCATGAGATGTCCCTGGTACCTTTTTCATAGGCTTTTTTGAGTTTGGGCAAGGACACAGGGGCCCCATGATCCCCTATTGCCCAGGGGCCCCATGAGTTGTCAGTCCGCCCCTGCTCCTGC